TTAGATATTATTACTTCATGTATATCAATTAACACAACGACGATCGATTATATATATTGTTTTTTTTTTGGTTTTTTGTTTGTTTCTTTTTTGTCAGATCGTCAGAAACGTTAGATGTCAGATGTCAAATCTGAGTGGGGGGTGTTAGGTTTTTTTCGTTACGGAATTTCTGGATTCGGTCCCCACGCTCAAGGCCCGCGATAGAAGCTATGCAATAGCTTAAAAAATTATTGATTCCTCTAGAATGGTAATTACCTGATCGCCGGTAAACAAAATTACGGCCGTCGGAACCATGCAAAAACATTCTGCTTTCGTCAGTAATAAGAACCTTCTTCCACTGCTCCAAATTCCAATTCACGTGATCTCGGGCAAAAAGTAATCTTGCAATTCGATGTGCAGGGGTGAGTTTGGGGCCAGTTGCGTTAGTTTTGGTTAGGTTTGGGTTAGGTTTGGCGAAAAATATTCCAATGAGTTATTAGATATTATTACTTCATGTATATCAATTAACACAACGACGATCGATTATATATATTGTTTTTTTTTTGGTTTTTTGTTTGTTTTTTTTTTGTCAGATCGTCAGAAACGTCAGATGTCAGATGTCAAATCTGAGTGGGGGGTGTTAGGTTTTTTTCGTTACGGAATTTCTGGATTCGGTCCCCACGCTCAAGGCCCGCGATAGAAGCTATGCAATAGCTTAAAAAATTATTGATTCCTCTAGAATGGTAATTACCTGATCACCGGTAAACAAAATTACTGTGCGCGTATAGGGGGGTTTTACTGGGATTTTTAAATGAAAAATTAAAAACTTTGATGACCGAACAGCACGCAGTCTTACGATTTATTGAGAAAGAAAAATTTAAAATCACCGTCTGTGCTATAATGACAATATATAACGACGCCTGATAGAAAAAAAGAGCATTACGTTGGTTATGTTACTTAATTAACTTAAAATAGTTTAATGGTGCTTCAACATGCCCCCGGCCGTTGAAAGCCTGCCTTTCAACAGGAATCTTCCAGTAAGGGACAAATTCTTGAACAGGCTCGTCGTATGACTCCATTGGCAGTCTTAATATCTGCAACCCTGCTGATATTATCCGTCCCGGGATGAAGAGCGACAATTCGTCCCATCCTCCACTTTAATGGCGGCAGGTTGTCATCTTTGACAACAACAAGTGAGTTGAGTTTCAATGAGTCTTTGGACGTGTACCATTTCACACGTTGCTGCAGCTCGGATACATACTCCTTGCTCCACCTGATCCAAAAATGCTGTCTCATTTGCTCAATTCGCTGGAAACGACTCAGGCGGCTGCTAGAAGGTTCTCGCAGATCCTCGACTGGAAGTGAAGTAAGTGGCCGTCCAATCAAAAAATGTCCAGGAGTCAACGGAAGCACGTCGTCAGGGTCCGTAGATAAGGGCGTGTTCGAGCGCCTGATGATTTTTTAAAGCAACGTATTTTAAACTACTCACAGTTAACTTTAACTTTTATTATTTTTTGTTGTACCGTGTGGGTCATTAGTAAATGAATATACTTCCCATCAAGTTGTCCTGGTACGCGGTTTTATTTTTTCCTCCGTGTCCTGTTAAGTCCCGTACATGGTCCTTTATCGAGCGGATAGTGCTTATATGGATATTAATAAAAGTAATTGAAGATTATATATCCAGATCAGCGATTGTTAACGACGGAAATAATTAATTAACATGGACATAGAATTGGCCGGTACTGAGAAGTAATGGAAAGATCGAGTACACATTATTTTCAACGGTGTTAAGTTTTATTTGTATAATATCATCACCCAACACTCAAACAGGTTGTATTTAATTTTATAATAAGTTTATATAAAAGGTTAGTACATTTTTCCCTGTGTTAACTTTTATTATAACTCATGCGTAGGTACTCGTATGTGTTAGAAATAATTTGTTAGTTAGTGTTAGATATTATTACAAGTTAGTAATTATATTGTAAATTAATTTAATTAACCCGTAGTGTACTTAAAGTTATCATTTGTTAAAGTTATATACTTATATTTCTGTTTTAAAAATAATTATTAAAAAAATAAGGACAAAATAAAATAATAGTTTGTCATCATAGATTTATTTGTTGTATTTACATATGAACGTAATAAATTGCCTATTTGTATTATTATATACAAATTAAAATAAATTGTTAACTTATTACATAGCACGTAGGTACCTCAAAGTTTTGTATAGTTAAGTATTTTATTACTTTATAAACTTAAAATTGTTATTATATACATTCCAGGTCGACATCACACGTTTCCCAGTATGTCCGAGGAAAGGGAGTTAATAAAGAAACGAGGAAGTTTTAAGGGTCGCTTAACTGCATTTATTAATTATCTTGATGCATTAAGTGACAACAAATTAAATAGTTGTGATGTTACCGAGTTACAATTGCGCATGAGCAAGATCGAATCTTTATATGAACAATACGATGAGGTACAGTTGCGTTTAGAATGTGTGGTTGATGATATAAAAATACAGTTGTCTGAGCGTTCTGAATTCGAGTCATTATATTATAAAACCTTATCTAGGTCACAGGAATTATTAAAATTATATAATAAAGATAATGAATCGATTGCTAGTTCTAAAAATACTCATGCCACTATTCATAAGCCTATTAAGTTACCTACTATACAGTTAACAAAATTTAGCGGTGCATATAGTAACTGGTTGGAGTTTCGTGACACCTTTACTAGTCTCATCCATAATAACGACGAGATTGACGATATAAATAAATTTCATTATTTGCGTGCTTCCCTGGAAGGATCTGCTGCTGCTGTAATTCATTCGATTGAATTCTCTGCCAATAACTACACTGTGGCTTGGGATTTAATATGCGATCGTTTTAATAATAAAAGGTTATTAGTGCAAAATCATGTATCAGCGTTATTTAACATTGAAGTTATCACTAAAGAGTCTTCTATAGCGTTAAAAGGTTTGATAGATCAATTAAATAAAAACTTGCGATCATTGGAATCCTTAGGCGAGCCTGTCAAACAATGGGACACCTTATTAATATATTTAGTTACTCGCAAGTTAGATCATAAATCTTATCGCGAATGGGAGGAGTTTAAAGGGCACATAGACAAAGATAGTAAGATTACTTTCGATGTCTTCCTTCAATTCATTCGCACACGCGCTGATTTAATTGAAACTTTGGAATTATCACGAAATAATGTTATTGTTACTAAATCACATTCTAAGGTAAAATCTATGGTAACGACACAAAGTTCTGGTAGTTTAAGCACTGAGTCTGTCACTAAACCTTGTCCAAATTGTAAAGGTGACCACAGTTTAAGCGGCTGTTCACATTTCCTTTCATTAAGTAATGAAGCTCGTTTTAAATTACTGCCTAATTATAAAGTGTGCTACAATTGTTTTCGTACGGGCCATTTTGCAAATACTTGTAGAAAACCAGGTTGCAAATTATGCAAGCGAAAGCATAACACATTAATCCATATTTCCGATATTAAAGATAATCGTAATGACATAATTGATAACATAGCTTTGTCTCCGTCAACGTCCGCTGCGTCTTCGATCGCCGTTAAGACTGGCGGTGGCGCTAGCAACGTCTGCGAATATTTCATCTCCCCATAACGTCATTCATAAACAGCGCGATGTGTTACTGTCAACTGCTTTAGTTAAATTATATGATAAAAATAATCATGAGCATATTGTGCGTGCGATACTCGATAGTGGTAGTACATCGAGTTTTATGACGGAGCGACTGTGTAAAAAGCTTAAATTAACCACTAGTCAGATAGATAGGTCGATTCTTGGGATAAATAACGCGACTTCTCGCGTAGGTAACACTTGTCAAGTAAAAATGACGTCACTGAATAACCATTATAAGACAAAGTTATTTTGTTTTGTGTTGCCATTAATAACAAGTAGTATGCCCTGTTATGAATTAGATTTATCTGACATTAATATTCCTTCTCATATTTGTCTAGCTGACCCCACCTTTTACAAGCCCTCAGATATTGATATTTTGATTGGTGCGGATCTCTTTTGGGACTTGTTAGGCTCAGAGAGAATAAAGCTAGGTGCCGAGAGGCCTGTGTTATGTGAAACCAGGTTAGGCTGGATTGTTTCTGGCCCGATTACCTATAAGTCTGGTAAATTATTATCAAATAAAATTAGTTGTAATTTTACTCGAACTAGTCCTTGTAACGGTTCTGAATTAGATTTAATTCGTCAAGATTTAATGCGATTTTGGAATCTTGAAGAGATTCAGTCACAGTCCTCTGATTATTTACCAGAAGAAAGATTATGTGAGGATCATTTTATTAAAAATACAACACGCTTAGATGATGGTCGTTTTTGTGTTCGTATCCCGTTAAAGCAAAATACTTCTGTTTTAGGTAACTCATTTCATAGGGCTAAAAAATGTTTACTTTCCCTTGAACGCAAATTAAAAACTCAACCCGATTTTAGCAAATTATATCACGAATTCATGTCTGAATATGAAAAGTTAGGTCATATGTCGGAAAATAAAGAATTAAATTTGAACACAGGTGATTATTTTATACCGCATCATGGAGTACTACGCGAATGTAGTGTCACTACAAAGCTTCGTGTGGTCTTCAATGCAAGTTGCCCTACTTCATCAGGAGTTTCTTTTAATGATTTGCAGATGGTAGGTCCTACGGTTCAGGATGATCTTCTCTCTATACTTCTTCGGTTTCGACAGCATAAGTATGTTTTGTCAGCTGATGTTGAAAAGATGTATAGACAGGTCGTAGTTCATCCATCTGATAGGCACTTGCAGCAGGTAGTTTGGCGTGAAAATGTAGATGATCCTGTCAAAGTATTTAAATTAAACACCGTCACGTACGGTACGGCTAGTGCTCCATTTCTTGCCACGCGCTGTCTTAAACAGTTAGGTATAGAATGTAAAAATGATAAAATTGCCACCATTATACAGCATGATTTTTACGTTGATGATCTGCTGACAGGTAGTAACGATTTAGATGATGTAATGTTCATCCGTGATGAAGTTACTAATGTACTTGCCTCAGCTTGTATGCCACTTAGAAAGTGGAAATCGAACGAATCTAAATTAATATCTGGATCCTTTCAGTCGCCATTAGATTTAAGCATGGGATCGGTTGAGCCTAATAAACTATTAGGACTTGACTGGTTCGCTAATTCTGATGAACTAGGTTTTTTAATAGGTTCTAAGATACCTGAAGGCAACACTAAACGTGATTTGCTTTCAGCGATTGCTCGCATTTTTGACCCTTTAGGTCTATTATCTCCTTTTGTTGTTTCTATGAAAATGATGTTGCAAAAAATGTGGTTAGATAAACTTTCATGGGATGAACCTTTAACTCAAGAATATATTACAAGCTGGGATGCTCTTGTCAAAGCTTTGCCTCTTTTGAATCAATTTAGAATTCCCCGACTTGTTATAAAAGATTCATATAAGGCGTTAGAATTACATATATTCACGGATGCATCTGAGCGAGCGTATGGTGCGTGCGCTTACGTCCGTTCTATCGATGGTAACAGCAAGTGTATGGTTCGTTTATTAATGGCTAAAAGCCGAGTGGCGCCAATTAAACCTACCACAATTCCTCGGTTAGAATTGTGTGGCGCCGTTGTAGGAGCTCGAATTTATGAAAAGATCATAAATTCACTTCGGGTAAACTTCGACAGAGTTTATTGTTGGACTGACTCGACTATCGTATTGGGATGGTTACAGATGTTGCCTTTTAAGCTTCAACCATTTGTACGCAATCGCGTTGCTGAAGTTTTAGACAAGGCGGGAAGTTGTAACTGGCAGCACGTCCCAACTGATAAAAACCCAGCAGATCTAATATCTCGTGGCGTGGATATTAGTACCTTGCAAGGTTCAGATTTATGGTGGCATGGTCCTGATTTTTTGAATAAAGATCCGTTCAACTATCCTTCTAAACTTAAATTTTTAAATTTCGACACATTGCCCGAAACTCGAGCTCATGTTGCGCTAAGTATTAAAACTGAAAATATACATTCAAAAGACAGTACTTTCATAAATTTCAAACGTTTTTCAAATTATTTACGACTTATTCGTTGCGTAGCATATGTGTTGCGTTTTATTAAAATCTGCCGAAAGATCCCTGTAACTAATAACTTTTTATCAGAAAATGAACTACAGGAAGCATTAAATGCTATTATTATAAAATGTCAGGAGGAATCATTTCCAGAGTATAAATTACTTATAAATAAACAAAGTTTACCTGCAAAAAGCCCATTACTTAAGTTTAATGTTTATTTAGACTCTAATAAAATAATGCGTGTCGGTGGACGTTTAGAAAATTCAGATTTCTCTTATAACAAAAAACACCCTATTATTATACAGTCTACTCATATTTTTACTAAATTATTATTCCATTATCAACATAAAAAATTGATGCACGCGGGACCGCAATTATTATTGGCCTCGATAAGAGAATCGTATTGGCCCATAGGTGGCCGAAATTTAGCGAAGGCTTGCTATTGTAGCTGTGTGCGCTGTTGTCGGATAAAAGGTAGTGTAGTTACACCATTAATGGGAAATTTGCCTCAGCAGCGACTTGTTCCGGGAGGTTTTCCTTTTGAAAGTGTTGGCGTAGATTACGCTGGCCCTATAATGTGCGCTAGTCGGCAAGGTCGAGGTTGTAGGCTAGTAAAGGTGTACATCGCGATATTTATTTGCTTCACTACTAAGGCCATCCACTTGGAACTAGTCGGTGATTTAAGTACTAATAAGTATTTATTGGCTTTATATCGATTCATTTCGCGTAGGGGAAAACCCATCAATATTTTTTCTGACAACTGTACCTCATTCGTAGGTGCGTACCATGAAAGGAGGAGGGTTGATATGGGCCATTTTCCGCCCATCACAATCTCAAAAAAAAAAGTTTCGATTTCCGGCTATTTTTATATATTTATGTATAGTTGAAGACATATATTTTTTAATTCATAATCATTTAAGTGATAAATATTATACTAAGTTACAGATATCATTGTTCAAAAACAGGGTGTTTCGCCTTTTTTGTATATTTTTGTCGTTTTTTTTATCTTTAAATTATAATTTTATAATGAAGCGCTCCATGAACCACAAAAACTTTGACTCACATTGATACTACTCTTTATGAGCTTGTAAATGAGTACTATTTTATTTTGGTTCATTGTGCGCTTCACACAATAAGAAAAAAATATATTACGCGCGAAAGTATTCAGTGCGTTGCGAGAACAAGTTCATACGTGATTTATATTGCGCTCAAAAAGTATTGTTAGTAATGAATGTTAAATAAGACTACAGAGATTCAGCAATTCCTCTTTACTTCGATCACTTAACAGGAATCCTTACAAAATGGCAATTACAACTATTTATACATCATTTCCCCACCGTTGGGTGTAAGGTGGCGGCATCTGTCTTCTACGTATAACATTTCCCAACGGTGGATGACAATACTCTTAAAACATTAATATTACAAATACAACTAACCGATATCGTTATTAATATTATAAAATTGTAAATAATACATTATAAATAATCAATATCAAATTAATACAATAAAATATAAAATTATAACTAACAAATTATGAAGAATCAATATGATCCTTAAATAATAAACAATAATAGTCAATTGAGCAACTATAACTAACAGTATTTACGTAGTGTGCTATCGAAATAGTGTTCTGCGGTTGTTGTTGCGATTGTTTGTTGTAAAACTTAATAGATAATAATGCCTGGAAGACAGTGTGATTGTTGTAAAACGTGGCAAAAAACAAATAGTGCTTTTCGTACCTGTTCTAATAGAAAAATCTTATCGATACTTAGAAATTCTAAAAATTGTGATCTACAGAGTGGTTCTAAGTTGTGTTCGAAATGCAGATCATACGCATTCCGTGTGGTTCGAGCTCAAAATATTCCTATTTCATCTTCCATAGTGACAACAAGAGTTCATGCTTCAACAAGTACTGCCGACGACACCTCGAAGAGACCAAATATATATTTATCAATACCTCGTTGTCACAACTCTAATACGTGCTGTATAATATGTAAACGTAAAAGCTACCTCATGACTGTACCGAAAGCAGCTCGAACTCAAGCATTTATCGAAACTGGAATATATATTTCTTCGGGAAAAAGATGTTGTAAAACTCATATTACCGGATTGATATTCAGTGAATTGGCTTTGCAAGTTTTACGCCCTGTAAGTGAGAATACATTAATGTGTGAAAAAGATATAAAAAGTCTTTTAAACAATATTAGAGAAGTAGCAAAGAAAAAAGGCCTTGATTTTGACACACCAGGACAGCTTTCCGAGTCTGATTATTATACTCTCATGGGCATAACCATGTCTGATTTTAATTACATTTTTGAACAAATAAGGCCCAAAATTCGTTCCTCGAAAACAAGGTCATCTCGTACTTGCTTGGCAGTATTACTTGTAAAACTTAGAAGTGGTGTCTCTAATGGTATACTATCCACATTATTCAATAAGAAAAAAAGATTAATATCATCTGCTGTTCAAAGTGTACGCCGGGCTTTGATTGAGAACTTTGTGCCATTACACCTTGGAACGAAACACGTAACGAGAACACAAGTTATTGAGAAATATACGAGACCTTTAGCAAAAAGATTATTTATTCCCGACGATAACGATGATGCAACGATACTTGTCGCTGATGGCACGTACATTTATATACAGAAGAGCGCGAATTATTCCTTTCAGAGACGATCTTTTTCATTACACAAAGGAAGACCTTTGGTTAAACCTATGATGTTAGTCACTACTTCAGGTTACATTCTTGACGTCTTTGGACCTTATTTGGCTGATTCAAAGAACAATGATGCGAACATATTCACACATGTTTTAAAAAAAGATGCACACAATATCACAGAGTGGCTGAAGCAAAATGATGTAATAATTGTTGATAGAGGCTTTCGTGATTGTTTGGAACTCCTGGAAGAAATGGGCCTCGTACCTGAAATGCCTAGATTTCTAAACAAGCAGCAACAGTTTTCAACAGAGGAGGCTAACATGACGCGTCTTGTAACCAAAGTTAGATGGGTCGTTGAAGCTGTTAACGGGCAGTTGAAAAACTGGAGAGCATTAGATAAAGTAATGCCAAACACGCAAATACCTTATATTGGCGACTACGTGCGAATTGTATGTGCTATCCTCAACGCATTTCATCCTACAAGAATTAAAAACACTGAAGATGATGAAATAATCGCTCAACGAATGCTTGATTTGGCTAAAAACCCAAACCACTTACAGCAGATAATCGAAGAAAAAGGATGGGCCAGAAAAAAAGCAATCTGGACCAAGCTAACTGATAGAGATCTTCAAGATTTTCCACGTCTAACTTGGGATGAGTTGCGACAATTAACACTTGGCATATATCAACTTAAACAAAGCCAATCGTACACTCAAGAGCATTTAAATGAAGAAGGTTTTTATTCTTTTTACATACATCGTGAAAATGATTCTGTTGTTAGAGTACAGTTACGATCACGGCACACAAGTTCCAAAAACTATAATGTTTGGATAAAAACAGATAAAAGCAACATCACAAACATTCAATGGTACTGTCAATGTAAAGTGGGTGCAAGAGTCGTAGGGTGTTGCGCACATGTTGCCTCTGTATTATGGTTTTTAGGTTATTGGCGCCACAATTCAACCGAAATCAAGAAACCAAGAGATGAATATGCCTATACACTACAAGACGCTGCCGCTGAAGGATGGTCCAGTAGTGATTCAGATGAAGAAACCAATAAGGAAAACTAAAAAAACATACATGCTCAATGTGCCTGAAACTTTCTAATTATTTCTGATTATTGATTATTTTTCATATTTCAAATATTGCAATAATAGTAAAAATAAACCTTTTTCATTGTAATCTTGCATTTACAACTCATTTTTTGTGTTAGAATGTACAGTAGCAATGGTTATATTAATAAATGTTCATAATAACCTTATAATTATTTGTTTTATTTATCCCATTAATTAAAGAAGTTTCATTAAAAATAATTGTTTTCTACACTTGCCATGAGATATACTATTAAATAAAATAAATTTCAAATCGAGCGGCTGATGGGCGAAAAATGGCCTTTATCAACCCTCCTCCTTTCAAAATTTCTTAAATTTAATCGCGATTCGTTGAGTGAAAGTTTGGCAAATGATGGCATTAAAATGCATTTTATCCCCGCGTATACTCCTCATTTTGGCGGACTCTGGGAAGCGGGTGTAAAGTCGACGAAGTATCATCTCAAACGAGTGTTGGGAAATTGTAACCTTACCTTCGAAGAACTTAACACCACATTGATCCAAATTGAGGCGATATTGAACTCTCGCCCATTAACGCCAATGTCTTCTGATCCTGCAGACTATACACCTCTGACGCCTGGACATTTCCTTATTGGTCGAACGCTTACTTCACTACCACAGCGTGATTACCGGGACGATTCTGTTCATCATTTAACTCGTTTTCAAAGGATTGAGCAACTTCGCCAGCACTTTTGGGTTCGATGGAGCAAGGAATTTGTTTCTGAATTACAACAAAGAACCAAATGGCGCTCCTGTAGAGATGAGTTGAAGCTGGGTTCCTTGGTAGTGGTGAAAGAGGATAACCTACCACCTCTTAAGTGGAAATTAGGACGAATTATTGCAGTGCATCCAGGGTCGGATTCAATTGTTCGTGTGGCGGACATCAAGACGTCTGCTGGAGTAATAAGACGAGCTTTCAATAAAATTTGCCCGTTACCCGTAGCAGAGGCTGATTTTTGTTGAAAGACAATCTTTCAACGTCCGGGGGCATGTTCGAGCGCCTGATGATTTTTTAAAGCAACGTATTTTAAACTACTCACAGTTAACTTTAACTTTTATTATTTTTTGTTGTACCGTGTGGGTCATTAGTAAATGAATATACTTCTCATCAAGTTGTCCTGGTACGCGGTTTTATTTTTTCCTCCGTGTCCTGTTAAGTCCCGTACAGGGCGTAAGTGGCCGCGAATTTAAAATACCTTCAATTTGAATTAGTACGGAGTTAAGCTCCTCGTACGTGAGATTACAATTTCCCAACACTCTAATTAAATGGGATTTGACCGACTTAACACCTGCCTCCCAAAGTCCACCGAAATGTGGAGCATAGGCAGGAATAAAATGGAACTTAGTTCCATGTTGGGCAACGTCTTCAGCTAAGGAGTCACAGTTAAGTTTTAAAAAATTAGAAATTTCATTGTAGGCTCCTACAAACGACGAACCATTGTCGGAAAAAAGATTAAGCGATTTTCCCCTTCGAGACATAAACCTGCGTAATGCCTGTAAAAAATTACTGCTAGTCAAGTCACCCACCAATTCCAAATGAATGGCCTTCGTAGTAAAGCACACGAATATAACTATATATACCTTTACTATTTTACATCCGCGACCTTAACGACTAGCTGACGAAATGGGTCCTGCATAGTCGACCCCAACGTTTTGAAAAGGAAAGTCAGCTGGTGAAAGCCTGCTCATTGGCAAATTACCCATTTGGGGAACAACTGTCTGTCCTTTCAAACGTTGACATCGAACGCACTGACGGTAGCAAGCCCTAGCTAAATTACGACCGCCTATCGGCCAATAGGTTTGCCTAATGGTACTTAATAATAGTTGAGGTCCAGCGTGCATTAACTTGATATGCTCATGTCTGAATAAAAGTTTGACAAAATGATTAGTGGACTGTAATAATATAGGGTGTTTTTTCTCGAATGAATAGTCAGAATTATGTAATCTTCCCCCTATACGGATTATTTTGTTATCATCGAGAAAAACATTAAATTTTAATAATTGATTTTTATATGGTAGTTTTTGTTTATTTATTAATATATTATATTCGGGAAAAGATTCCTTTTGCGACTGAATTATAATTATGTTTAAAGAGTTTTGTAATTCTTCAGCAGTAAAGTTAGACGTAAATGTAGAACGGGTTTTGCATGTTTTAATAAAACGTAACACATAACAAATACTACGTTGTAACCGCGTAAAATTTGAAAAACGTTCAAAATTAATTAATCCTTTATCTAAATTATGATTAGCGTCACTCGCTACAAGGCAAATATTTGACTTAATTTCAGGTAGGTTCACTGAATCCGTAGGCATGCATGGCAGTCTAGTAATATCCTGTCGTAAAAAGGATGGACCAAACCACCATAAATCCAATGCTTGCATGGCGGAAGGTTCTACTCCACGAGATATCAAATCCGCGGGATTATCGTCTGTAGGGACATGCCTCCAATTGCTAGAACTAGTTTCTTCTAATATTTCGGAAACACGATTCAGAACAAAAGTATTTAATTTAATTGGTAACATTTTTAACCAGCCCAAAACAATCATAGAATTAGTCCAGAAAACAACATTAGATGCTCGACTCCTGAAAGAACTAACTACATTTTTATACAAACGTGTACCAAGCACAGCCGCACAAAGCTTAAGTCGTGGGATAGTCACTGGTTTAATGGGAGTGACACGACTTTTTGCTATTAATAATCGCACAGCAACGTCACCTTCAATATTAATACTGCGAATATACACACAAGCGCCGTAGGCTCGCTCTGAAGCGTCGGTAAAAATATGCAATTCGAACTGCTTGTATGATTCACAAACTACACGACGAGGAATGCGTAAATTCTGAAGAACAGGCAATGCTTTGATCATACCCAACCATGCAGTTCTAATTTCAGGAGGTAATGGGTCATCCCACTTTAAACCCTCAAGCCAAAGTTTCTGAAGCAGCATCTTCATACGTATGACACACGGGGCTAGAAGCCCTAGAGGATCAAATATACGTGCGATAACAGCTAGCATGCTACGCTTAGTGGCTTCCTTTTGCTCAGACACACTGATAGGAAAACACAAATCATCAGTGTGCGTCTGCCAACTCAATCCTAATGTTTTATTAATGGCATCACCTTCTTGGTGGAAATCTAAGCATGATTCAGTGGGTTCTGAGATTAAATTAGGTTCATTAGATTTCCACTTTCGTAAAGGCATGCATGCGGAAGCAAGTGCATCAGTGATCTGATGGCGCATCACATAAGCCTCCTCAAACAGATCAGCACCGGTCAAAAGATCGTCAACATAGAAGTCGTGCATAATAACTTCTGCGATCTTCTTGTCGTGACATTCTAATCCTATCTGTTTGAGGCACCTAGTCGCGAGAAATGGTGCACTTGCAGTACCATACGTTACTGTGTTTAATTGATACGTCTTAAGTGAGCTGGAGGCATCATCACGCCAAATGATTTGCTGCAAGTGTCTGTCAGACGGGTGTACAGACATTTTTATACATGTACATTTTCTCCACGTCTGCAGAAAGAACGTACTTATACATCCTATACCTAAGTAAGATAGACGTTAAATCATCTTGAACAGTAGGTCCTACCATTTGAATTTTATTTAAGGAAATGCCAGAGGTGGTGGGAGCACTAGCGTTTAAAACAACTCTTAATTTTGTAGTACTACTATTTTCACGCAAGACACCATGATGCGGAATGAAATATGACGTTTGGTTTGAATTAATATGACACTCGGACATGTGACCTAAAGAAATATACTCAGACATAAAATCCTTGTACATTTTGTCGAGTGGAGGTTGCTTTAAATTTCTGCGCTCTAATGACAGAAAACAGCGTTTTGCACGATGAAATGAATCACCAAGACGACTTGAAGATTCCTTAAGCGGGATTCTAACATTAAAACGGCCGTCTGGCAAACGCGTAATGTTATTAATAAAGTGTTCTTCGCACATCTTCTCTTCAATTGAATAAGTTGATGACTCATGACAAACTTCTTCAAGCTGCCAAAAACGCGTAAGTTGGTTTTGGATGTCATCTAACTCAAGAGAACTAGAAGAACGGTTATTTTTAAAGTTTGTAAAGTTACATTGTATTGGTGGGAAATGAGATGACAACATATTATAGCCGCCGTTAACTGGGCCACAAACTAGCCAACCAAGTCTAGTTTGTTGTAATGTTGGTTTCCTATCACCTAATATAATTTTATCAGAGCCTAACAAGCTCCAAAATACGTCAGCTCCAATTATAATATCAATGGAAGCTGGCGAGTGAAAGTACGGATCTGCTAACTGTATATTCGAAGGAATATCTATATGTACCTGTCTAGCGGGAACGTTATCGGTAATAGTGGGCAAGACAAAACATATTATATCATTAGCATAAGGTTCGTGTAAAGATTCGACGTGAACTCGGCACATTTTTCTTACAGGAGATAGTGAATTATTAATTCCTTGAATAGACTTTTTTATCTTTAAATATGGTAAATTTAATTTTTTAAATAGTCGTTCCGTCATTAGACAAGACGAACTACCGGAATCAAGAAGGGCGCGTGCGATGTGTTCTTTATTATTTACATCATAACATTTAATTAACGCAGTCGACAGAAGGACGTCGCTCGAGGTGCTTGTATGCGAGTGCGCCGAGATATTAGCCGATAGTGCAACGTGCGCGTTGTCTCCGTTGTCAGTAGCGATGGAAGATGACTTGTCCTTGGCCTTGCCGATTGTACATTCACCTGATTTGTTTACAACGGGATGGCTTTTATAATCATTATTGTGAATAAGCGTGTGGTGTTTGCGCTTGCAAATTTTACAACCTGGTTTTTTGCAAGAATTAGGATAGTGACCATGACGAAAACAATTAAAACAAATCTTGTAATTTTGCAATAATAACATTCTATCGCTAACACTCAGTGCTAAGAACTGTGGACATGAATTTAAGTTATGATCGCCACTACACTTTGGACAACCGTGTGCTAATGAAGAATTTATTTTTTCTGTGGAAACCATAGCCTTAATTTTAGTGTTGGATTTAATATTACTGGAAGAGGGGCGTGATAGTTCAACTGTTTCTAGTAGGTCGGCACGGCTACGCAGAAAATCCATGAACTGTTGAAATGAAATTGATTGAGTTTTATCAAAGCGCCCTTTAAACTCCTCCCACTCTCTAAATGTTTTAAAATCTAATTTTTTACTAATGATATATATTAGAAGAGTATCCCAACTGTGAACAGGCTCGCCTAATGAACTTAATGCTCTGATATTTTTGTTTATATTGTCGATTGTGCGTTTCAATGCAATTGAGGATTCTTTCGTAATCGATTCGATATCAAACAACACCGTGACGTGATTATTAATTAATAAGCGTTTGTTATCGAAACGTTCACATAGAAGTTCCCACGCAACTGTGTAGTTTCGGGCGGAGAACTCAATTGATTTAATTACGATGGCAGCCGAACCTTCCAATGATGATCGCAAATAATGAAATTTGTTAATTTCGTCCATATCGTCATTATCATGAATAAGACTAGTAAAGGTATCGCGAAATTCAAGCCAGTTAACGTAAGATCCTGAGAATTTTGGTAATGAAATGGTAGGTAACTTGACTAGTTGACGCTTTGAACTACTGTGGCTAGATTTTACATCATCTTTTTTTAATTTAGAATAGTTATTTAACATAATTTTTGCCTAAGTTGTAATACTGAGATTCTACTGTAGTTCTTTCAATAGATTCAACATCAAGATTTTCACATAAACATTCTAATTGTAATTGAATTTCGTTAAAGTCATCATATAAATTTTCTAACTTATCAATATGTAACTGTAACTCCATTGCCTGACAAGGGGTTAACTCGGAACCTTTTAAAAGACCTAAATAGGTTGCAAATGAAGTAATTCTTCCCTTATAACTACCACGTTTCTTTTTAAGATCTTTTATGTCGGTCATTTTGGAAGGCAGGTGTCGTCAATCTGGAAATTTACAACAGAACGCTAAATAATGTAAAAAATATCTTTTTATCAATATTCCTATGACAATGAGCATTAATCAGTAAATAAATATAATTTAATTTGACTTTTAAAAGCACTGCGCTTATAATTTTGCTGTTGTATGATAGACTTAAGACTAGTATATTTAAATGACTTATTTTACAATTCTAACTATCTACAATGATAACTACTTACAATGCTAATAATTTTAAGGTTTAACATTAAATATTGTATTAAATCTGAATAGTTATCTAATGTAATATTTATTAATATTACTGTACTGTCACAATGAAGTACTGATTAACTATATTATACAATTATTATAAAATCAACCTAATGCAATGTAAATAACTAATTAATACGTTTTAAATTGTAGTAGTTTTAAATAAAAAAAGAATAACTTGTAAATATTACATTAAAACATATTTTACTAACCTTATACAGTCTTCATATTGGTCATTAAGTTTTTACCTAGAATATTACCTGAGTGTTGGGTGAAAAAAATTTTATTTAACGCTTAAAAACAATTTCTTTTATTAAATTAAATCACTCTAAAGTCCAAGCCACTTTTCTTCATCCAAAACGTGTAGGTTGAATCACTTCTTTTGGACACGTTGCTCAATTTTATAATTTTATAAATTCCAGATAATATTCTTTAAATCCCTATATTTCCAAAGAAAATTATAATAACCCGGTTCGTAATGGACCATGTGCGCGTATAGGGGGGTTTTACTGGGATTTTTAAATGAAAAATTAAAAACTTTGATGACCGAACAGCACGCAGTCTTACGATTTATTGAGAAAGAAAAATTTAAAATCACCGTCTGTGCTATAATGACAATATATAACGACGCCTGATAGAAAAAAAGAGCATTACGTTGGTTATGTTACTTAATTAACTTAAAATAGTTTAATGGTGCTTCAACAATTACGGCCGTCGGAACCATGCAAAAACATTCTGCTTTCGTCAGTAATAAGAACCTTCTTCCACTGCTCCAAATTCCAATTCACGTGATCTCGGGCAAAAAGTAATCTTGCAATTCGATGTGCAGGGGTGAGTTTGGGGCCAGTTGCGTTAGTTTTGGTTAGGTTTGGGTTAGGTTTGGCGAAAAATATTCCAATGAGTTATTAGATATTATTACTTCATGTATATCAATTTACACAACGACGATCGATTATATATATATTGTTTTTTTTTTTTTTTTTTGTTTGTTTTTTTTTGTCAGATCGTCAGAAACGTCAGATGTCAGATGTCAAATCTGAGTGGGGGGTGTTAGGTTTTTTTCGTTACGGAATTTCTGGATTCGGTCCCCACGCTCAAGGCCCGCGATAGAAGCTATGCAATAGCTTAAAAAATTATTGATTCCTCTAGAATGGTAATTACCTGATCGCCGGTAAACAAAATTACGGCCGTCGGAACCATGCAAAAACATTCTGCTTTCGTCAGTAATAAGAACCTTCTTCCACTGCTCCAAATTCCAATTCACGTGATCTCGGGCAAAAAGTAATCTTGCAATTCGATGTGCAGGGGTGAGTTTGGGGCCAGTTGCGTTAGTTTTGGTTAGGTTTGGGTTAGGTTTGGCGCTCAGGGCAGTTGCTGGACTGCTACTGGGCGCGTCCCCCGGGTGGCGGATAGGGGAATGCCACCACATTGGTGGTACCGGTCTCGACCGGCGCGGACCAAAACCAGCAGGCATGGGCGTGCCTTTAGGGGTTTGTTAACCCCACGGCCTAAGGGAGCACACCCTGACAGAAAAGCGCGGAGGTGGGGCGAGCCCGGCGGGCGCTTAACTGCGCAGCCCGGCTAGCACTTTGTGCAACGTCCCTCTCAAATCGTAATCCCGGGACCCGGTGTCGTTGCCATGTCTAGCGGCCGGTAACTGGGACCGATAGCCTCGGCTTAACCGCCCGGGCTGCGAGGAAGAAAACCTCTATAAAAAATCACCCCAATCCCAAGCGGAGAAGCAGCGTGAGGGGATGCGTGGCCGATGGGAAGATCGGTCTCTACTGCTTCCCCCGCTAGAGTACCGGCCGACACTCTAGGCGGGTTATTGTAGGCTTATCCGCATACAGGGGGCACTATGCGGACGGACCCACCCTTCCCCCATACTCGTGGGATTCAATATGCAATGTTCAATTTCAAAATCAAAAACCCAAGACGGGCGGAGAAGATGTAGGGCCTGAGATGGGCGGAGAAAAGGTTGGGCCAGTGACTGGCGTTCGGTCGTTAAGGAGCAGTGTGTCGCGT